AAAAGGAAAGCGATTTGTTGAAATGTGTTACTATGTAGTTCCTTTGAGAGAATGGGATTTTAAACATGGTTTTTAGAATTCATTTATTTCGCGAAACTGTTCGGATTTAATACGTCACTTGAAAGTTAACAGTGAAGAGTTCAATTTTGTGATAACATCCAATCAATTGGTAATTTAAATTGGAAACTGCATCTCTAGCTTAAGTGGATTTAGTGTTACAAAGGTTGATAAAATTAATGCAAATTTTGTGAGGCTCGTTAAAGAATGTTTTATTTGGGGTTTGATGTTACTCCATCGTTACTTAATTAACTTGAGTGACAAGTTATAACCAAGCTCTAAGATAAATAATAGTTTGATGATGTTGCTGAATAAAATGGTTGAAATTTTGAGTAAAAAAGTTATATGAAATTTTAAAGTTTAAAGGTTAAGTTCATCTGATTTTATTGAATCTGCTTGTCCAGCTAATTTTTGAACTGTCCATTATCAATTTTTGAAATTTCCAGATGAAAATTTTAATTAGATTGGATTGAGTTTTGATTTACAGCTAGTCTGGTCGGGCGTTAAATTTAGGGCTTTTAAAGGCCACATCTCAAAGGTATAGCATCAGCTTTGGTGAAAAGTACAGGTTAAAACTTTAATGTTGAATGCAGTACTAGATATAACATCCTCTGCCAGGTTGATTTTAATACAACCTAAGTGGCTATAATGACTTACCTCATTATAGCACCAGTTAAGCATATGATTTTATGCCACCTGTATAACAACAGTATGTAAATAGTATAACAACAGCTTGCCACTTAGGTACAACAACAGTATGTATGCCAACAATATAGCAACGGTATGCCGCAAGAGAAGCACCAGTACCGGTGATATGTTATCCTATATGAAGGCTGTTTCCCCTAGCCCAAAATAGGTATATTTCGTCCTAAAAAAGCAATATTGCTCAAACCCCCCCACCCCCACCCCATGCAAATAAGTCACTATACAGGTAACTGTGACTGAACAGCTTCTGCTTAAAAACATATATCAGCTAATTGATAAATTTAATTAACTGAAAGACAGAAAGCTGTCTTATAGATAGCCTCTTCTGTGTAACCATGCATGTTAAATTCAATTGAAATTTGAAAATTTTATCAAAATTGTGAATAAATTCTATATGAATGATGAATGAATTCTATCTCTAATGAAAACTCCCCAAAAAACTTCTTTAATATTAATAATGGACAGTTCTTAAATTCATACCAGGACAAGTCTTTTTGTTATAGTCCATATTGATAATGACCAGTAGGTCAGGTTTGGTTTACAGAGTATATAATATAAACATAAAAATGTGATATTTATAGATTTCTCCTATGACGAAGTTTCTATTAAAATCAGTGTCTCCTATAGGAATGTAAAACGATCAATTATTACTCATTATTTACGATAGCTGTGCACCACTAATTGATTATTGAAGATGATTAAAGTAACCAGGTGATTGATGTTCAGAAGCTTTCATTGTCATTTTCTCATTCCAATTTTTTTCTCTCCCAACTGATGACACATACAGTAGCTTAACGAGAAATTGTGGCCTTTTGAACTTAAATGTTGGATAGCAAACTAATGTTGTGCGAAACAGTGCATATAAATGAGCAACCGGGGAATATTTAGGATAAGAACTGCAGATATTTATAACTTTATAAGCTTCCTCATATTAGATACCTTAGTTTTATTGCCATAAAAAAATGGCTCACTTTGATCAGTAACTCAAAGGTCAAGGTCAGTCTTTGGGGGTCAGGGGTCAATTTTTTAGAGTCAAAAAATTAATTTCTTGATAGATATTGAATTTATTTGGCTAAATTGCTTGCATACATGATAATACATGCAATCTAGGAGATAAAAGTCATACTTAATTTGGCATATTGAGGTCAAAGGTCAATAGGGGGGGGGGTATTGTTTCCCATGTTGATTTCATATTGTAAGACCAATCTTTTTTCTGTGCCATATTCATATGCCATGTCATATTCATGTAGCAGGCCCAATTCCATTCTTTTAATCTATCAGCAGAATTTTTTTGCAAAATTACATCAGTTAGGTGGAAAAATTCATATTGCATGATACGATAGATTAAAAGAAACTCAGCAGTTTGGGAATATGAAAATGGATTTGTTGCTGGTAGTTTGGCTGTGTTATGTCAATAACATAACCAAATTAGATTGATTATGTTTAAAGGCACTCCACCGAGGTCCACAACCCTAATAATATAGAATTTGAATTTATTACATAGATCAACTCTTAAAACAGAAAGATGATTTATTAGAAATATACTCAGAAATAAATGAAAATCTTATTTTTGTGCTAGTTTTAGTCTGATTTGTGTGAAAAAGCCTTGCAACACTTTTCAAAAAAAATTTTTTTTTTCACAATTACATAATAATTATTAATAATTAATTATCCTGGAAAAAATAGATTAAGCGAATGATTTCAAATTTTGAAATTTTATTTCCAGTCCCCTTGTGTCAAAAAACCTCAGTGGAGTCCCTTTTACTTTGTGAAAAATGGTTATCATGCAGAAATCATCACATGGTACATGTAATTTTCACCATTAATGTCAATTCAGAATCAGATTGTATTGTTGTTTGCTAATGAACCAACCATGAGCTGTGGATTGTTGGCCAAGTGAATGACCATCTTCATGTCACTTCCAGCTTACGTTAGTTATAGCGATAAAAATTCATTATCAGTTTGCGTGGAATAAGTGCCACTAGATGGCTTCATCTGTCAAGATACTTGGCAGACGCTGACAACTAGAGCTGTTAACATCGGAATAATATTTTTTATGGGAATTGATACATTTATTGTTTGTCTGGTTCCATTGTCGTTAATCTACTGTCGTTAGAGACCAGTCAGAACATTGTAGTTCCATTATATGTAACTGCCTTTAGGGTCAATTTTTTGTATGAACGCAGATAACTAGCCAGTAAAATATGAGAGAATAATTATATTAACAGTCACTATGGTTCTGCTTTTATTTGAAATTGCCTGTAGAAATTATGGTTTTCAGGAATTTTTAGCTTGACTATTATAAAGAATAGGGAGAGCTTTAATTTGTTCTCTCCCATTGGCGTGTGCATCACACTTTGTTTAAAGTTTTTCTGAGTAAGTTGGTATCTCCAAAAGTATTGAAGAGAATGGGTTGAATCTTCATACTCTTATTTAAGAGCATTATAGAAGTTCACTGCCCAAGGCCCATAATTCTTACGTGGGACAGAATTTTGACAGAATTTTAAAGGCCCCTTTTTGAACATTTTACATTATTCATGCTCCTTTTTGTACTGTCAGGCACTAAGAATTATAAGTCAAGCATGTGATTTATTCAGTTCTAGCAGGGTAAGGGTTAAAACTCTGTGATTTAATTGGTTCCTGCTAGGTAAAGGTTAAAACTCGGTGATTTAATTGGTTCCTGCTAGGTAAAGATTAAAACTCTGTGATTTAATTGGTTCCTGCTAGGTAAAGGTCTAAACTCTGTGATTAAATTGGTTCCTGCTAGGTAAAGGTTAAAACTCTGTGATTAAATTGGTTCCTGCTAGGTAAAGGTTAAAACTCTGTGATTTAATTGGTTCCTGCTAGATAAAGGTTAAAACTCTGTGATTTAATTGGTTCCTGCTAGGTAAAGGTTAAAACTCTGTGATTTAATTGGTTCCTGCTAGGTAAAGGTTAAAACTCTGTGATTTAATTGGTTCCTGCTAGGTAAAGGTTAAAACTCTGTGATTTAATTGGTTCCTACTAGGTAAAGGTTAAAACTCTGCGATTTAAATGGTTCCTGCCAGGTAAAGGTTAAAAATCTGCGATTTAAATGGTTCCTGCCAGGTAAAGGTGTTCCTGCCAGGTAAAGGTTAAAACTCTGTGATTAAATTGGTTCCTGCTAGATAAAGGTTAAAACTCTGTGATTTAATTGGTTCCTGCTAGGTAAAGGTTAAAACTCTGTGATTTAATTGGTTCCTGCTAGGTAAAGGTTAAAACTCTGTGATTAAATTGGTTCCTGCTAGGTAAAGGTTAAAACTCTGATTTAATTGGTTCCTGCTAGGTAAAGGTTTAAACTCTGTGATTTGATCAGTTCTAGCAGGGTAAAGGTTAAAACTATGTGATTAAATTGGTTCCAGCTTAAGGTAAAGGTTTAAACACAGTGATTTAAAAGAAAATATACCTGAAAACTGTGAAGAGTCTGAGTATTTTATATTATTGCTGTTTAAATATTTACAGTTGTTTTGTTATTGCATATTCCAATAATTGAATTTTGTAAAAAAAAATACCATGATGTATGATTATTATTCATATTTTTTTCATTATATAGACATATAACCATTCTTAAAATTTTAAGACAAAGAAATTATTCAAATCAAAATATTCTTTGCATGAATGTAAAACTGAATCAATGGCTCTTTGTTTTGTGCTGCAGGGATGAAATATTTTGAAATTTAGTAGCAAGCCGTAGCTAACCTAATAAAATTTTTTTTTTTTCATTTTTCTCAATTCACAATTCTAAGGTGTTGACTTATTTTATCTGCTAGTGGGGATGAATTACTGAGACCTTAGTGTGATTCAATTATTAAAGAGCCTGCTAGACCAATGTTGACTGCTGAAAAACAAGTGGTACTTTGACAATGAAAATCCTTAAAGGACTAATCTTTATTTAAAGCAGAGAAAGGTCATTTTAAAAATTTTGCATTAAAAGAAAAACATAAATTTAAGGTATAATCATACTAAAACAAAAAAAGGGATCAATTTAATTACATTGTTGTTAATACTTTTTTTTTCTCAGAGGCATTTGTGTTTTTTTATAATGATTTTTCTGATACAAAACAGCTCAGAATTTCTAGCAGCATTTGTGTGATCAGTTTTTCAGGGTTATTACATTTATTGGAGTAAAGTTGTCAGTGTTTATTAATTTTTAAAACAGTAACAATGATGGAAAGAATACAGCTTTAAAATCATAGCGGTGCTATCGTCTGATTCATAGAATGCTCTGTGAGTGACATCAATTGCATTCAAATAATTAAACTTAATTTGAAGAACTGTAACAATTGGTGTGAAAGTGGACTGTGGTTCTTTTACCTTTAAATATTTCTTCTACTGTGACATTGGAATAAAAGTATGCACTCAATAGGTCAATTGAACAAATACTAGTAGGACTTTGATAACTTGTTAATTGATTTGACGTACAAATGTATATATAAGTGATATTGTTATGATGTGTTTTGTTTCATCAACAGATCAAGATTATCTTAAGTATGTGTTTGAGGTTGTGACAATTTGACTGTGATTGTGATAAAAGTCAAGTCTTTAAAGAAATTAAATTAATGTTACTTTTATCTTTAATTAAGTGTTATTAGAATAACGTTTAAAGTGGTCAGTTTTTTTGGACAGGTGTAGGTTTTTGGAATGAACTAGTACCCAACATGTTTTGAAAAACCAGTTTTTGAAGAAAGTGACATACATTATATTTCGATGTGGAACAGGACATTATGTAAAATACACTGATGTGACAATCCCTATACATTGAATTGAAAACATGGAATTTATAAAGGTATGTCATACTTTTACTTTATTAATAATGCTATTTAAAATCTTTGTAGAATTAGATTTTATCATTTTATGACTTTATATACTGCTACATTGTAATCTTAAAGTGGATCTGTCCACAGCTGTATATATGAGCCGCGTCACGACAAAACCAACGTAATGTGTTTGAGACCAGCATGGATCCAGACCAGCCTGCGCATCCGCGCAGTCTGATCAGGATCCATGCTGTTCGCTATCAGTTTCTCTACTTGTAATAGGGTTTGTAAGTGAACAGCATGGATCCTGATTTTTTGCAAATCTGGTCTAGATCCATGCTGGTCGCAAACACATTATGTTGTTTTGGCATGACGCCGCTCATATTTCTTTTGAGTTTGTTGTCACCTATGATGCTTTAAAATACTATCAACATACTTATTTATGGTATTACTTGTCTTCAATTATATAGACCAATTCACTTTAATGTCTGATTTTCATACATCATATTAATTACATATAGACTGAAAAATGTTGGCCCATTAAGCCTTTATGTGACTAAAATAGTCCCTGAATAGCTACTGGCTTTGGTTATTATTATTATTTCTATTTTTTGACATTTGCCATCTTATATTATATAATAAGCCTAACTGTCTATATCTCGGAAAAACTAATTTCCCTACTCATTTCCCTACAGCATAAAATATTTCATGTCCTTCGTTACCCTAGACTGTCTATATGCAGGCACTGAGAATTATTCTGTTTAGATAGGTGGAAATGTCACTTAGAGATAAGTTTCACTGATTTTTCAGTAAATTTTTTAATTGTCTTCAAGTTTCATTCATTCTTAACCCTTAACCTGCTTGAACCAAAAGCCTTTAACACCACTAAAGAGCCAGTGACCAGCCTTAACATCTGTGCGGAGTCTGACCTGGCTCTATGTGCTGTTGGTAGCTGTGTTTTTGTATTTCAATATTGAAATCCCTTAAACTTCAAATGGACTGTTCCAAATAAAAAGCAGGGCAAATCCATTACAGAAATTCAGAGAGTTAATAGTAAAGGTTTCTCCATAATCTTAGTCCATGAAGTTTAACTTTCACATTTAGCTTTAAACACATTTGCTTAAAGTTGTCATTTTTACCAGTTCCACTGACTTAATGATTGTGTTTGTTTCAACATTGCACTGATTTCTTAGATTATTTTGCAGCCAAGCTTCGCTAATATTTCAAAGGTTTTCTGGAGAGGCATTTAGTGTAAGACATAATGCACTCGGAGGTGCACTGATAGAAATCAATTTGACTTTGATTTGATTTTGTTCAGTCACTTCTTTAGTTATCTTAGTTGCCAACTTTCACTTATTGATTGGCAAGTTTTACTCATTTACAAAGTTGTCTTTGCAAGAAGCTGAAATCATTCCTGCTTTGATAATTCATTAAGTTTACTTTCTCGTTCATTACAGAAAGTTGTTTTTCTTGTTGACATTACAGTTAGTTGTCTTTAACTCTTGTTGACATTACAGTTAAATGTCTTTAACTCTTGTTGACATTACAGTAAGTTGTCTTAAACTCTTGTTGACATTACAATTAGTTGTCTTTAACTCTTGTTGACATTACAGTAAGTTGTCTTAAACTCTTGTTGACATTACAATTAGTTGTCTTTAACTCTTGTTGACATTACAGTTAGTTGTCTTTAACTCTTGTTGACATTACAATTAGTTGTCTTTAACTCTTGTTGACATAACAGTTAGTTGTCTTTAACTCTTCTTGACGTAACAGTAAGTTGTCTTTCTTGTTGACATTTCAGTTAGTTGTCTTTAACTCTTGTTGACATTACAGTTAGTTGTCTTTAACTCTTGTTGACATAACAGTTAGTTGCCTTTCTTGTTGACATTATAGTAAAGTGTCTTTCTTGTTGACACTACAGTAAGTTGTCTTTCTTGTTGACATTATATTTAGTTGTCTTTCTTGTTGACATTATTGTAAGTTGTCTTTCTTGTTGACACTACAGTAAGTTGTCTTTCTTGTTGACATTACAGTAAGTTGTCTTTCTTGTTGACATAACAGTAAGATGTCTTTCTTGTTGACATTATAGTAAGTTGTCTTTCTTGTTGACATTACAGTAAGTTGTCTTTCTTGTTGACATTACAATTAGTTGTCTTTCTTGTTGACATTACAGTAAGTTGTCTTTCTTGTTGAAATTACAGTAAGTTGTCTGTCTTGTTGACATTATACTAAGTTGTCTTTCTTGTTGACATTACAGTAAGTTGTTTTCTTGTTGACATAACAGTAAGTTGTCTTTCTTGTTGACATAACAGTAAGTTGTCTTTCTTGTAGACATTACAGTAAGTTGTCTTTTTTGTTGACATTACAGTAAGTTGTCTTTCTTGTTGACATACAGTAAGTTGTCTTTCTTGTTGACATAACAGTAAGTTGTCTTTCTTGTTGACATTACTAGTAAGTTGTCTTTCTTGTTGACATAACAGTAAGTTGTCTTTTTGTTGACATTACAGTAACTTGTCTTTTTTGTTGACATTACAGTAAGTTGTCTTTCTTGTTGACATAACAGTAAGTTGTCTTTCTTGTTGACATAACAGTAAGTTGTCTTTCTTGTTGACATAACAGTAAGTTGTCTTTTTTGTTGACATTACAGTAAGTTGTCTTTCTTGTTGACATAACAGTAAGTTGTCTTTCTTGTTGACATTACAGTAAGTTGTCTTTCTTGTTGACATAACAGTAAGTTGTCTTTCTTGTTGACATTACAGTAAGTTTGTCTTTCTTGTTGACATAACAGTAAGTTGTCTTTTTTGTTGACATTACAGTAACTTGTCTTTTTTGTTGACATTACAGTAAGTTGTCTTTCTTGTTGACATAACAGTAAGTTGTCTTTCTTGTGACATAACAGTAAGTTTGTCTTTCTTGTTGACATAACAGTAAGTTTGTCTTTTTTGTTGACATTACAGTAAGTTGTCTTTCTTGTTGACATAACAGTAAGTTGTCTTTCTTGTTGACATTACAGTAAGTTGTCTTTCTTGTTGACATAACAGTAAGTTGTCTTTTTTGTTGACATTACAGTAAGTTGTCTTTCTTGTTGACATTACAGTAAGTTGTCTTTCTTGTTGACATAACAGTAAGTTGTCTTTCTTGTTGACATTACAGTAAGTTGTCTTTTTTGTTGACATTACAGTAAGTTGTCTTTCTTGTTGACATTACAGTAAGTTGTCTTTCTTGTTGACATTACAGTAAGTTGTCTTTCTTGTTGACATAACAGTAAGTTGTCTTTCTTATTGACATTACAGTAACTTGTCTCTCATTCACATGACATTAAGTTTGCTTTCTTATCGACATTTCAGTAAATTGTCTTTATCGTTCAATATAGTTGTCTTTCTCTTTTGATTGTTGTTGTCATAATTATATAGGTTTTGCTAACTTTATTTCTTTTAAACGTTACCTTTTAAACTAGCAGAATTAATTCATTGATTCACTCTATAATAAGATATTAATAAGCATTATAACTATTTGGCTTCACTATACTTTTGTCAAAACATTGAATCATCCTTCATTTATACATCTGACATTAAAATACTTACAGGTCATATTGTTCATTTATGTGTCAATTAGATTAATGATTTAACGAAGAGTAACCAGATACTGTGTGAATTTAATCTTATTAACTCAAGTATTCTGTATAATTTGAATATACTGGTGGCTTTTAACATCTAAGTATGAAGTTGGCAAAACCTGCTCATTTATGTAGTCTTATAGTTAAATTTACACCTTGCAAATGGCACTTACACTCACATAAATTACCAAAAAGAGGTAAAAGTTATAATGCCCTTACTGCCTTAGTCACATGTACAGTACCAAATTAATATGGTGATAATTTACACTGCAAAATACTGTAACCCAATTTATATTCGCGAATACAAATTTTCGCGTTTTGCCGAGGTCGGACATATTGGCGAATATTAATTTCTGCGTTTTCTTGATTTCCGAAAAAAAAATATTCGCGGATTAGAAAGTTTATCTAGAAAAGTCTTTAAGAAATTCAATTTAAGCGTTTCATAAAAAGAATACCTTCTCCAATCAGGGATCGAACCTATGCCGAGAAAATTATGTTATATGAGTCCGCAATCTATTTTTTACCAACTGAGCTATACAGGCTGTTAAGATCGATACTAGTATAAAATCATCTTGTATTTCACTGTTTGTCATTAGCTCGACTTTTCTATGAAAAGGGGAGCTATCCTACTCGCCCCGGCGTCGGCGTCGGCGTTAGCGTTAGCGTTGGCGTCACACATTGGTTAAGTTTTTCGTACCACCCCACTTTATTTCAGAAGTATTACAAGTATGGCTTTGAAACTTACCATACTTGTTCACCATCATAACCTCCATCTACAGACAAGAGTACATAACTCTGTCAAGGTTTTTGACAGAATTATGGCCCTTTTTTGACTTAGAAAGTGTATTGAGCTTGGTTAAGTTTTTTGTACCACCTCACTTTATTTCAAAACCATTGGAGGTATTGCTTTGAAACTGACCATACTTGTTTACCATCACGACCTTCATCAACAGACAAGAGGACATAACTCTGTCAAGGTTTTTGACAGAATTATGCCCTTTTTGACTTAGAAAATACATTGAATATGGGTAAAATCCACTTATTGCCTTAACCCTTTGAGATATTGCTTTGAAACTTTTAATGCTATTTCACATCATTACCCCCATCTGTACGCAAGAGAAGGTAACTCTGTCAAGGATTTGTTTTAAAAATTAAGGCCTTTTATCGACTTAGAATCTTGGTTAAGTTTTTAGTACCAGTCCACTTTTTGACTGAACTGTTTGAGATATTAATTTGAAAGTTGGAATACTTGTTTACCATCATGGTCCCAAAACATGGGCAGGAGAAGGTAATTCTGTTAAGGATTTTATTTGAATTATGGCCCTTTTTGACTTAGAAACTCAGTTAAGATTTTCATTCTTGTCCACTTGTTGACTTAACCATTTGAGATATTACTTTGGAAGTTGGAGTTCT